TGGGGCTTCGTTTTGAAGCGAAAGTTAGGAACTCTGGAAATAGGGGGAGGGTGAGAGACTAGAAATTCACCGCCTTAGGTGTAACCTCCTTCCGCAGTGTGTCGGCCAATTTTTTGAGTGGAAGGCGTTCATTTGATGTTCAGACGCCTTATTAAGGATGCAGTACTCCCGCAGCTCAAAAATACGTGATGAAAGCGGGACTCGCGACGAAGCCACTGTCTGGCCCGCTGGGAGCTCGTCCGACCACGCTCTTTCTTCGCCCTGTGCACCAAGACACGCGGATCGGCATGGGTTTCTATGTGATGCCCTTCAAGCGGGTTTTCTTTGCACTTTTTTTCACTTCGTTATCTTGTCATTAATATTCGGGCCGCACAACTGACCATTTTCGAGTGTTTCTAAAGGGGAGATACGGAGGTGGAGCGTGCTAGCGTGGCCATTTTTCTCATCCTCATGATGTGGTCCGATTTGCCTTGAACATTTAGAATGCGTTAATGAGAGTAGTCCTATATTAGTGATCTCTCACTGAAGACGGATGACATTCACACGATAGCGAAAATCGCATCAAAAGCCCATGTTCGAAGTCATTTTGCAGGTCTACTTCTGGTGACTTGGGATGGGCGATGGAACCTGGGGCTCGTCATTGCCTTCTCTGTCATCGCCCGCGATTTCGACACTTTCTTTGAAGTAAGTCAGCAAGATTTGCATGATTTCATTGCTAGAAGTGTCATATCGGCACTATTTTGCTGTTACAATTCCAAAATAAAAATATTGAAAAATCTTCACCTGTGTGGTTCATTTCGCAGATGTCGCAAATGTACATGCCCGTTTTTTGCTCGGTTTCCGTTTAAGTGTATGTGCGAAACGGGAGCTGAAGCACCTTCATGCTTCACCCCCCCCCCCCCCCCCGCTTTCCTCTCAATATTCCTCAGTTGTTCGACTTTCAGCCATATTGATGACTTTTCATTTTCAATTACTTTTCTTCTTGATGAAAAAGTGATGATGTTGGTATGGCTCTTGACTATGAATGAAGCTAATATTCGTGATCAGAGTATTCAGTGGCCTTTATGAATAAAGTTTCAGCAAAAATTGGTCCTCTAAAGTGGTTATAGTCGAATACTGCACGACTTTTCAGAACCAAAATATCCTTCAAAACTGGAGCGGCAACAGCAGTAACCGTGACACCATTTTACACACTGAAGCCGGAGCTGCCACGTAAGTTGATTTCAAGCTCTGTCGGTCATAATATCGAAATTATAGTGTAGTCAACTGCGGACGGTTGGGCGTGTCAGGCGGGATGAGTTTGGCGCGGTGCCAAACCCGTTCTCCACCAGTTGTTGAAGCGAGCAAATGATATGACTGTATCATATCGTTCGTATTACTCGTTTTCTACCACTTTTTGTCGCAACAAGAAGGCAGGCAATGGCTCATATGGAGCGCCATATTCATACTGCCGGACATGCCCAGCCGTCCGCAGCGAACTAGAATTTAGCGTCTTTACACTCAACATTATTATAATTATATTATTATAGCGCATGCTTAAGGTTGTTTTTTGACGCTCTGCTTACGATCCTGATAAGCATTGTAGAAGTTTTTTTCTTCTGTGGTTTATTTTCGTTTTGTATGTTGTCTGCTGTTTTTGGTGATTAGCTTTTCTTTCCTTTTAGTCTTGCGTGGTTGTGTGATTCGAGCTTCTATTGCGTGTGACGCTTTTTTAGAAACTTTGGCTTCGAAAGACCGTTGCCTCTTCAGAGTGAAAATTCTAAATGTGCCTACTGATGACTCGGGACGGGAAATTCAGATTAAAGGCTATAGTGTGCGTCGCAAAACTTATTATTGGAATGATTTTTCGGAATGGATTGTCAACATTTTAGATGCTTATGGTTGTTGAAAATGTTTCGAAGAGAAATTGGGACCCTCGGATGAATGCCTGGGGGGGGGGAAGGCGATCCGCGAACTGTGACGGAAACAACGACCACCGTAGTCCTTATCTGCCTGGACTGCCATAGAGATCCAGGCTGCACACTATGGAACTTTTTCTCATAAGTGATTACAGTGGATGGTGCGCGAAGGTGGCCTACAACTGCTTAGCTTCACAAGAAAAAGTGAGTCTGAAACTTAGCCTACCTTTCCGCCTCGCTCAAGTGGCGCAATTTAACGCAACTGTTGAAGAAAATCTTAGAAGAAAAAATACCTCTGTAGAATTGCGCTGGTTCTACCTCATCCATTTATGATCTAATGTAACAGTTTGAATGACGAAAGCTTCCATAGCAGGCTTTCAGTTATCGTCAGGCATATGGTACGTAGGCATACACTGATGAACCTGTAGCCTTCAAAATGTTATTAGGCACGTTATTAGACTGAATCTTTCGGCCCAAAATCGCTTTCTCCGGAGTCTGCTGCTTACACGATGTGGACATCTTTAAAGCTCAGAGTGCCCCCTAGAGTTTCACATCCAGAAAGGCGATTTTTGCTGAAGCCGTTATTCCCAAATGAACGTCTATAGCAATCTCGGAAGGCTACAGGTTCATGAAATAGTTGGATGACGGTCCTCTTTTTTTTCTCGTTTCGTATCTGATCTGCCTAGTAAGTGTGGTTGTTATTGAGTCATTTTAATATGTGTTGACCTGACTTCCTGCGTTGAAAAGTTTCTGTCAAAACCCGACACTAACCGAGCACACTATGTCTGTATGTCAATATCCGATACTTTATTTTGGTCTGTTTCAGCAAAAAGTCCCATGCTCGGCAGTTCTGATTTATTGACGGCATACGATCTTGGTGCTGTGTACAGTCGGTATTGCTGTGCGAAAAAGATGCGTGAAGATCTCAACTCGTTTCTACCTCAGATCTACGGGAATTTCAATTTTTCTCAGGCTCAGGATATAAGGCGAGTTGTTCTTACGGATCATATGCCAAGATTCTCTTACGAGTAAGCAGAGATTGCCCCACGAGAAACTGACGAAAAGTTTAGAATCACCTAACCTTTTTTCCGTTGTGAAATACATCGGCAACCTGCTGTTTCCTGTCTGCAGCAACTGTGGAGAGGGTCATGAAATTATGTCGCTATATCCCTTTTGTAGTTTGATGCTCCTTAAAAGCCGGATTTCTTAGAGCCTAGATAATCGCATTCTCAGTGGAGCAGCTTTAGAACAGACGATAAAGGGAGCCGCGACTCCCTCCACTCCTCCCTGTAGCCAAAGTTTCCTTTAATTTGGGGTTTGCTGTAATCCTGTATGCCATGACGCCTCTGCACCCTTTCTTTCGGGGGGGGGGCGGGGTGCTAGCTTACTCGGTGCGTTTTCCCCCGTCTACTTCTCGATAAGCGTTTCCTCTACTTCTGATACATTCTTGGGCTCAGCGGCCTTGGGAGGGCCACTTGGCTGTGCCACTGTTCCCCCGGCGTTTCAGCGCCTAACCCAGGCTCAGACATAGCGGAGGCTGTGTCTCCTGTGCGAAACCACTCCTCAGACACTGGTAGTCTGCGCTCTAGTTCTATGCTTTGGTTGGGAAAAGGGACACAGGGGCGAGGTTGAGCGGTCCCCTTCCCAACCATGCTAGTGCACATTCTGTCTTAGTTCTTCATTGAATTTGTAAGTAATTGGGCTCTATTTGACTCATATGTCATCCATCCGACCGTCTCTAATCCACGTTTCCTGACCAGTATGATAATTTTCTGTAACTCTAAAATCGTGGAGATCCTACATGTCATCCTTGCTTGCCGATTTACAATAGAAATTTCATATGAATCTCAGAATTTTTTCTGTAGTTTTCCTCTTAGTCATCGTTTCAGCTCACTGAAAATGCTTGTGGAGAAGCCACCGATAACTGGTAAAGAAATTAATACACTGTCTTCCACAGCTATGAGTGGATTCCGTCTGACACCAGGACCAGTTGACGAAAGGTAATAACTGTTATGTTCACGTCAAAATGTGTCCAGTTTATAGCGATTTCTGATTTTTTTTCTGCAATTCTACCTCTAATAGGGAAATCGTTGACCCATTTTATGTGAGATCGCAGTTTTTTTCTGTATTGAATATATTTACCTTCTGGAGAAAATTTGGAACTGAAAAATTATTTCTCAGAAAATCGTGGCTCTGAGGGACTTTACCCTCATACCTAGTTACCATTTCAAGTTCCAATACTTTTCCATTTTGTTTGAAGAACCTCAGAGGCAATCGTCCTTTTTGCTGCTAGGCTTGTTTATGACTGCGTGTTTTTCTTGGAATGTGTTTTTAGTTGTTTTTCCTTGGCGGGTTTCTCATGCTCTCGACGCTTATCTCCTGTAAACATAGCTCCCACGCCTTCTTATTCTTCACTTCCCTTATTTTTAAGCTGCTTTTAAAGGGCTGTCATCAACATGAGCATTTTCAGCTTTGCTGAGTTTTGAAGAAAGCGCGGCGCCGTTCGAAAATAATGGATTAAGGATGGGGAACAAGGAAATGAAGGGAGCAAATTGTTGCTTCGGGAATAATAGGACACCCTGCTAGAAGTCTGATGATATTCTAGCCGCTCAGATGGCGTGGTTTCAAAAACCATATTCTCTCTACCAGACCTGAAGCATGGGGGAATGAACGACTCTGTTGTGAGTAGGTCACGCTGCCTACGTCGCGCGCGGCAACTCACGTCAATTTTCAGAGTTTCAGAGTCAGCGTATCCCTGAGCTGTCACTGTCATTGGAGCAAGGTATTTGCGTTAGTTCACGGCTTCTTCGAGCAACATTCCATCGTGGACCGTCCATAGGTGATCGCTTCAGCAGTTTGAACGAGCTTCGAGACAGTACAACTGGTACGCGACGACAACGGCATCGCTAGCCATGTCCACCAACGCAGCGATCTGGCCGCACTGCTGTACCACTGGCTCATAAGGGCATTGTGAATTCCAGTTTTTGCGTGCGCATTTTTACGTTGCGAATCGGGAGAATGGGTACGAAGGGAGGTATTGACATCGCTCTGGAAAATCCGCAAATGGGAAGAATCCTAGCTCGGAGTCTTCAGTTCGATCCACTTACTTCTTCTTGCACTTACACTCCCGATTAGTGGATTGTTTACATTCGCAAAGTATGAACGCTCGCATGCATTGATGGTTTCTGTCCACACTTTTCTCCGTCTCTCTATTTCTCTCTTCGAACCCCTTCTCCTCTATCAATTTCATATTAGGTTGCGCCGGGCAATTTTTAATCGCTCTAGATATCTTTACTTTTCGAGTACGTTGTTTTCCCCACTCATCACCGATAATAATTCAGGTACCGATACCTTTTCGAGAAGAAACGCGAAGGCGATGGCATGCCAGTCATTTATGATATAGAAAGAAAAGATTACAGCGGTGGTCAGCGGTACAAAAACTCATTAGATAGCTTAGACGGTGAGTACCATACGCAGAAACGCTTCATTTCTTTAATTCAATGCATTTT